TTGATTATATATATTAAGCAAAGCAGGGTTATATTTTTTTATTACACAAGAAAAAATATATGAGCCCGAGAAAGAGGTCCCACAACACACACCCTACAAATACACAAAAAAAGTACCTTTCTCCAAAAAAGAAAAATACAACCCACCTACACCAAAACATAACAAGACTCAACACACAAAACACCAGACAATCAAAGCCACAAAAAACAAATCAAAGAAAAACCATAATAGAAAACAACATAATTAAGAACAACCAAATAGCCACCAAACTATTCAGCATCCTTTAAGGCTAAAAGCATCAGATTATAAGGACTAATCTTCGAGACTGTAGCATCCCGCATCTTCAAACCTCATTTAGCCGCCCAGTGAGCAGCCTTATTGTCTTCTCGTTTGGTATGCGACCAAAGAATAAATAAGTTCTTGGAAGGAGCAAAAATCGTTTTCATCTAAATATTGATACTGCAATGATACACACACACACACACACACACACACACACACACACACTAAGACACACTCTCTATGGTACATAGCACCATAACACACCTTGGCGCCTAGATGCCCAATATATGACGCTAGTGCGTGGGTTGCTAGGCGCATGTGTGGTGCCTATGTGTCACTCAAGGCAAATCAGACATTGTTGACTTGGTGGCCCCCTTGTACTTGGGTCTGAAGCAACATCTTTCTATTTTGCTCCAATTTCTCCTAAAAATATTTAGAAAAATGTAAATAAACATAAATAATAGAGAAAATTACAAAAAAACTTAGCCAGTTTTCACATATTTTACCAATATCAACCGCCTTATTTATGTAGGACGAGTAAGCGTACATCATATTTGAAAGTTTAAAATGGCTATATTTTTTATGTGATACGAAAGATTTTGGGGTTATAAGTGTCAAACAAAGTGAATCTTAAGGCTTATGTTTGTAAATACATAGGAATTGGAGGGCTTGTATGAATGAATAAGGAGACGTGGTGGCGTTAGTCTATAATGGGAACAGTGCTTCTCTGTCATTGGAACAAATCGCACACACCAATGGTGTATGGTGATGTATACTTGGATCAATAAACGTGGGACCCAAAATTTAAGAAAGATTTACATTCATACCATTCATTTTTCTATACAGTTACATATCTAACGCCTAAACTTCAATTTTACATACATACCACCTCACATCTATATGAAAATCTGTTTTTAGAGGTTGA